GGTAACGTGGGGATAAGGACACATATGTAATATCTTAATCAATAAAAAATATATTAAAAAAATTTTTTTGAATGTGGGAGTAGTAGTATCATTTAGAAACAACTGTTGTCTATGCCGCGCCAGCACGGCCAAGGATGAACCTGAGTGGGAGCGGTGAAGGATTAGAAAAGACAGGCAAGAGAATGAAAGCTGGGTCTCAGCTGGACACTGCCCTCTCTGATGGAGAGAGACAGTGCCACGGATTACAAGCCGTGTCTTTATTTTATATCCAGTTTCCATGAGGCAAAGTAAGGGCGTGGTCAAGATGTTTACAACCTTCTCATGGGTTTCAATCCTACTCAATTACATGCACCTGAACTCTATCAAGCCCACATCACTCAGACACGTGGGGCCACGTACTTGGACCATAGGGTCAAGCTTAAAACTACAGCTGTTGGCTATAATTGTGCTGTGAGAGCTCTGCCCTCCAAGCTGGGACTTGCACGTGGCCATGAGAGGACTGTGTCCTCTCATTAGTCCGAGGCTTGAACCTGTACTGTAGCCACTCTCCACAGTTGTCTGATTTCCCTTGACCCAAAGTACTCAGTAATTTCTAGAATTTCTCATTAACTATCTCTCATGATCAAGTTAAAGGTGAAACCACAGCCCCACCTCAGTGGTTATAGAAGCCACTTATATCAAGTGTTGGAAGTCTTCAATGATTAAAAAGAAGTGCTCTTCAACCCACTTTATTGCTGGTGAGGTAGCCTTCTTCCTTAATCTCCTCCAGATATCTTCGTGTGAATGGCTGCTCTTAACTGTGGATCCTGGAGACTGTTATATTGCTTGTCCAAATAAAGATCAGTCAAGTTAAAGCCATAATGAGAGGAGTTAGCTTGACACGTAGGCAGACAAGGCAGGTGTCCAGTGGAAAACAAAGGCAGGTGCAACATAGGCAGGGGCAGACACTGCAATTTGAGCAAGCCTAACCACAGTCAACCATGCAGAAACAACAATGTTTTTTAGACTCAGAGCGGGAGGTATGTGAACGTAGGGAGGGGCTGCAGCAAGAAGGTGAACTGATGCATAGGAACAGGGAAAGTCCAGGTCCATTGCTGGGCAAGAACAACTGAGGAAATCAAGCAGGTAGGGACATGGGTAGCTATGAAGCAGGCTTGCAGCAAATATATACCCCTAGATGACAAAGCTTCAGTGGCTACCCATTATGGGCCACTTCTTCATGCAGGGAGTCTCAATAAATGTTCCATGCTTTTGTTTAAATCTTCGGGTCTGCAATTTGATTCTTCATATTCCTGGTTATTAGCTATGAGAAGGTCAAAAAAGCTGCAAACACATTTAAAAAGGCCATAAACATAAATGTAATGAATTTCATTTTTAAAATCAACCTACTAATATGACTAGAATGCTCATTCAAAATAAAGCATGCAAGAAGTGTGTGAAAGGGGGAAAACCAACAACATAAAGATTTGGATTGTGTAATGCTAATTGCTTACTCCTACTTTTCCCCCCACTGACCTGAATTATTCTAAAAACTCGTCCTCACTCAATTCCTCCACTGACCTCCATCAGTTCCTGGCCCTGAGCCAGAGAAGAAAGGGAGGAAACAAAAGAGACTATGATAAAATGTGTTTTAATGGATAAAGCTGAGTTTAATGCTGAGTTTCTCCATTTTCCTCCTGCCCCTTTCAGATCAAGGCACTGCATTCAATTATAAAGATATAATATTAATTATGACTATTATATCTCAACTAGAGGCCTGGTGCATGAAATTTGTGCACAGGGTGGGGGGGGGGGCAGGGGGGGGGCCTCAACCCGACCTCAGGGGATCGGGCCTTAACTGG